TATGCTAGATCTTTTATTACAACTGATATACATAAACGTTTACAATCGTGTCCAATTTGAAAGAAAGTATTAATGAAAATGGAAATGTTCCACAAGGAGTCTATGGGTTTTTTTAATTCAAATTGAATTTTGAAAAAAAAATAACAGCCCATTTTTACCAAGACAGAGGAACTAAGGGGACTAAGGTGACTAACTAAGGGGACTAAGGGGACTAACTAAGGGGACTAAGGGGACTAAGCTGACTAACTAAGGGGACTAAAGGGACTAAGGGAACTAAGGGGACTAACTAAGGAGACTAAGGGCACTAAGGGGACTAACTAATCGGCCTGAGGGTAGGAATAATGGTGTACACAGAGACGTGCATGGGTCGCGGCTCTTCGGGGGGCGCTTCGCTCCCCCACGCCGCGACGCCGAAATAAAAGGTGTGTTAGGTGGGGAAACACGCTTCCTCACTGAATAGTCCGCTTAGTCCTCTTAGTCCCCTTAGTCCCCTTAGTCCCCTTAGTTAGTCCCCTTAGTCCCCTTAGTTAGTCAGCTTAGTCCCCTTAGTCCCCTTAGTCCCCTATTTCAATTTGAAATCAAGTGCTCTTTTTTCTTTTTAAATTCAGATTGAATTTAAATAACCCATTGTATGAAATTCCATGAGATCAAGTTGGTATGTTTTTTTTCTTTCTTTCATGATCTTAAATGATAAGCAATTAATTGATTTGTTTTTTTTTTTGTTGAAGATGCTGAATATATTGTTGAATTAACTGGTGTACTTACAACAATTGATCAATGTCAATCACATTTACAAGCTGGTGCTAAAAAAGTTATTATTACAGTATCATCAGCTGATGTTCCCAGGTGAAAAATCTACGATCGTATACGAAAAAATACAGCGAATAACGGTAGTCGTATACGATGATTGTATACGACCATCGTAGACGACGCTACACGATTAGATACGGTGTGGATGTGGGGGTATGGGTGTGGAGTGTGGATGTGGATATGGGGTGTGGGTGTGGATGTGGATATGGGGTGTGGGTGTGGTGGTGTAGCAGCGGGTGAGAATAAGACCCGCACGCACACCCACTCCCCGCCCACACCCACCCACACCCACCCCACCCACACACCCGCATCCACCCACACCCAAGTTACGGTCGTATACGATCGTAATATACAGTGTATACGATCGTGCACGATCTCATACGACGCCGTATACTACCGTTTACTACTCTGGTAATGCTCGTCCTGGGTTCCAATGTTTGTTATGGTTGTTAATGAAGATAAATATACAGGAAAAGAAACAGTTATTTCAACTGCATCATGTACAACAAATTGTTTAGCACCACTTGCTAAAATTATTCATGAAAAATTTGGTATTATCGAAGGTTTAATGACAACTGTTCGTTCATGTACTGATACACAAAAAATTGTTGATAATCCATCATATGAAGTATTTAATTAAATTAATCAAAAATAATATTTTTTTAATTTGTATAGAATTCGCGAGCTGGACGTGGACCTACACAAAATATTATTCCATCATCAACTGATGCTGTTGAAGCTGTATAATAATTTATTTTGCTTTTTTTTGAATAAATAAGAACATTGATTTGTATTTTATTAGATTCGAAAAATTATTCCTGATTTAAATGGAAAATTAACTGGTATGACTTTTCGTGTTCCAGCACCATATGTTTCAGTTATTGATCTTAATGTTCGATTAAACAAAGGAGTAAGTCTTATATTTATTGTTCGATTTAATTTAAATTTATTTATTTTCTTTTAGGCTAAATATGAAGAAATTTGTGCAGCAATAAAAGAAGCTGCTAATGGGCCATTAAAAGATATTTTGGCTTATACTGAAGATACAGTTGTTTCAACAGATTTTCTTGGTAAAACACATTCATCAATTTTTGATGCTAAAGCTGGTATTTCACTCAATGATAATTTTGTCAAACTTGTTTGATGGTATGTTTTTTGTTTTTTATTTAAATAACATTTTTATTTAATTCTATTTCTAGGTATAACAATGAATATGGCTATTCATATCGTCTTGTTGTTTTGATTAAATATATTGCAGAAAAAGATTATGAAATTGAATTGAGGCTTGAATCAACTTTCTAATGATTATACTACTGGATTTTGACTTTCATTTTCTATTGAACATTTAAGAAAAAAAAGAGTTCTTTTTATTAAGAAAATTTTGACTTTTATTTTATATTGTTATTTTCATTTACCTTGTAAAAATAAAAAGATAGATTTTTTTATTCTTCAAATAAATTAAGATATATGTTTATTCTACTGGATTAAATACCATCGACAATGCTTATTAATTGAAATTTTGTGTGATTTTATAATAGAATTTATATTGAAGCCGAAAATAAATATCTACGAAAATATTATTATAGCCTGTTGTACTGATTTGGAGATAAGTAGTAAAATAACGATTTTTCATTTATTTATTATCTATTGTCTATTGTCTATCGTTGAATGTATACGATAAATCGTTACACATAGTGTGTGTACCTTTATACTTTAATAATATCATGATGCATTTAACATGTGTGTCGATTCGTGCTAATCAAGCTGACAAGCGTAATATGAAATGTATCAAACCTATACAAGCTGGTCTGAAATGATACTTCTTTATTATATCTCGTTTTGTGAGAAAGCTTTTGATCCTTTTTGCAAAACTTTTCAACTGGAAAACTTAACAATGTAAGAGAGAAATGATTTTGCTAATTTCTTTTTACTGTAATCGATGTTAACTTTTTTTAAATATTTTCAAATGATAATATTTATTTATATGGATTAAACTTTTGATAAGAATAAACCT